GGCTATGGTAAAACAGACCTACTGTCAGCCAACTAGCTCTAATCTCGGCAACGTCTATCCTGTTTCTATCCTTAACATCATGCCATTGACTTTCTATGCCATAGTCTTGTGTGGCAAACAAAAACGTTGTGGTTCACATTAAACCTAATCAAAGCAAGCAGTACCACAAAATTTGTGGATTGGCATATAAGAGACTAGGGAATAGGAGGTCATAGAGTTAGTATTCTGGATATAAACAGGATATGCACGGCGGAGACAAGAGTTAGTTGGCTGACAGTAGGTATTACCAGAGATGTGATCCATGTTGCAAAGGCGTAACCATGAGACTCACTCAGAGGCTTTAGTCTCGAATTAATCACCAAACGCATGGAAGAGGTAATAAGGCCTCAAGTAAAACAGATGGGGTAGCAGGGGTCGAGTGAAATACGTGAACCAGGGATAAAGTAGACGGATCTCGCGGAGCAAGAGAGAGACTGTGAAAAGCCCTAATGAAGGAGGACTGGGTAACAATATATTAGACTTTAATCAAAATTCCAAGCACAAAGAGAAAGGAGGTGAGAACTTCAACGTAGAGTGTAAAGGATTTTTATGAATGCCGCTCGAGGGAGCACACCACACTACATCTAAATAAGCATAGAAAAAATTGTAACAGTGAAGGCATGATAGGAAGATATAGGAAATGTGAATAACCCAGGGCCTAAGGAGAGATACCACAACTGTTTAGCACGCGTTTTTTCAAAGAATGGGTTTCACTTGTTACTTATGACGAGTTGTTGTGTGGTGCTGAGAGCGGCGAGACTCACTGACGATGCCGACTACGATGTCGGCGAAACGTCTGAGAATGTACCACGTCCACGATCCGACTTTGGAAATTATCATGCATACAATAGACTCCGGACTAGGTGCATTCCTCTAAGTCCTCTTACCAATATGACAAAGTTGCGAAAACAAGGTCAAACGACTTCAAAAAAATAATTTTTCATGTAAGCGTTCAACATATCTAAAAATTCTTTCTCCAAGTTTTGATAATAATTTCAGATAATTTATTTGTTGAATTTGTGATTGAAATATAAATATTAACTATGAAACATATTATTAGCAATAATAATAGTTTGGTTGCTATTTATGTTTTTCTAAATCTAGATTTTAGGCGTATTCTTGGTTTTTCTTACATAATGGATAGACGATTCTCCCTCTTTCTCTCTCGTAAATCCGTGAGAGCCTTGACGCCAGAACAAAGGCTTTCGAGAGTTTTACCCTATCTTCCTTGCGAGGTATACCTGATGGTTCATCATTCTCTTTTTAGATTGAAGGCTGTAAATGTGCTTCCTGGAAATCGGACGACACTGACAGCTATGATATTAAGAATTTTCAATGTAGAAATTGTCGTCACCAGCATTTTGATCTGTCTTCTTGTTATTTTGATGATTGGATGTCATTCAAAGCGGTTAATTTAGTAGAAGATCTTGAATCATTATACAGCATGTGTTTTGCCGAAAAAGATATCGACACTAGGCAGCTTTACTTTTGCTTATTTAAAGTAGCAGATTACCTTATAATTATATTTGTTAGAAAGTAAACAAGGCTCTTTTTATCAAAGGCAAGCCGCAAGTTGAGGATAGTCCGCCATTTGAGAGGCCCTGTATCAACACAGTACGATGCAGTTTTTTTAGTTCCTAGGCCATTAGAAATGTCCTCCTCCACAAATTCTGTCAAAATCCAAAGCATACAAAATTTTATCTTGAAATCGGAAGATTGATCATTGCTTTTATTAATATATGGAAACTAGAGTACCCCAAAAATAGCAAGAAAAGGTATGAGAATGAAACTGGATACAAGCTCATATATATGAGGTCTGTTAATTTTGTTATTAACTAGATCAGATGGATTTGCCACTGCTACGTGCCTTTATTTTGCCTCTCTCTTCCCTATTGCACGGCAAC